GACAGTATGGGCAGGAATTCGGGTCCAGTCTGTGGACAAGACCCTCGCTTTTGCGAACAGCCGGCGTCTATTGAGCCGTACGAGTGGGCCGACGATATCACTAAGTGGCCGGTTTGTACACTACATACCGTACCGTATATATCGGTATAAGTTTGATTGTGATGTGAATTTGCAATTTTCTAATTATAGATTTGTCGCAAAACGTCGACCAAAGCTGCTATTTTTGAGCCACACATGAGGTGCGAACTCATAGCCCGTCCGTGTTGTCTGGGCATCAATGGTATAGTGAATAGATTTAATTTATCTACGGTTTTAACAGAATATACACATAATTCTTGACTGTTTAGGCGAGTGTCACATAACGACGCGAGAGTTTTGCGATTTCATTAAAGGCTTCTTTCACGAAGAGGCGACCCTTTGCTCACAAGTCAGTCATTGCTTAACATTTATTGTCTTATAAATTATAAGTTATAATAACAATTCAAACGTCAATATCCGTAACACAGGTGTCGTGTATGGGAGACGTGTGCGGAATGATTCCGTTCTACTCGGACGACAGTCCCGACCAAATCTACCGGATATTCACTCCGATCTTCCTTCACGCGGGTTTGGGTCATATCCTCATTACAGCGCTCTTCCAGTTCNGTTTGGGTCATATCCTCATTACAGCGCTCTTCCAGTTCTTCATTATGAAAGAGATCGAGAAAATGACGGGTTGGGCGCGAATGGCCGCCATTTACTTAGTCTCGGGTATTACGGGGTATTTAGCGAGCGCTGTGTTCCTACCATTCCGTCCAGAGGTATGGTAACTAAAAACCCAAATAATTAACATTTGATGTAATAATACTGAAACTCGTGGAACAGGTCGGGCCGGCTGGCAGTCTATACGGAGTGATGGCTTACTTTTTCGTTGAGTTGAAGTATATGTGGAACATCTTGGAGAATCCATACCTGGTATTAATGAAACAGATGGCGGTGGCAACTGTGCTCATAATGTTAGGATTCCTGCCATGGATTGATAACTACGCTCACGGTAAGTGTTATTTTATTATTAAAATAATGTATTTATTAACAACTGAATACTATTTTTTCTCTCTATTAGTAACGGGTTTTATAATCGGGCTCTTATTGTCATTCGCATTGATCCCGAGTACTATCACCGCTGAGAACAGAACCCGAAAAATATTGATAAAAACCGGTTGTTTTGCGATCGTTGTGTTCATTATAATCACATTATTAGTGCTGTTAT